ATATATATATATATATATATATATATATATACAAAGTGCTCCGTCGTATTTACAGAAAAAATGCATAAAAATAATATTGGGTCAGCTAATAAAAATGGAACTATTTTTTTTTTTTTTTGCTTAGCAAACATGTAATTTTGGTCACCTAAAGAAACTTGACCTCATGCTTTTGTTCATTTAATTTCTTTAGAAGTTGAAGTCTACTCACAAGTTATAATTGTAATTAACAAGTGGATTTAGAGTACTAAACTAAAGATAAATTTAGCATTCTCCTCTAGCTTCCGGTCTCATTTTTATGAAGAGAGTGAGGTATATTTATATATTTTATGAATGACAATGTTCGTAAATACTACATGAATCTAGATCACTCCATAAGACAGCCTAGAGTGATCCATTTGATCAGATGGTGTTTTATGAGTATTTAAGTGCCTCAATCATATTGGAATTAAATTATTTTGTGCTCGTTAGATTCATCTCATCGAGATATTTAATTTGACTATAAATTTACTGAATTTGAAGATCATTCAGCCCCACAAAATATATTTTAATGTTCGTGTTATGCTGTAAGTGTGTGATTTGGGCTCACTTTGACTCCGATCGAAATATGTTTGATGTTATTTGGTTCTTCTTATCAAGTCACATAATTTAAATAGAGTGCATGTAATTAAATATTTTGAGTTCTCATGCATGATTAATATAATTTTTTGATAATGTATCAATAAATATTAAATTTTAGATATTAGATATGTAAATATATAGTACTTTTGTGATATATTCTCTAAAATGTTTATATAAATATAAATATATATAAGATACACTCCTGAATTTAATTAACAAGATTATAAATAAACTAAATTAATTAGTTGTTGTACAAATTGACTCAAGCTTAAATTTAATTTTGAATTGAAATGGTTTGCCTTTAAAATGGACATATTTCAAAGAATACGAGCTATAGATATATATATATATATATATATATATATATAGAAAAAGGGAGTGGGGAATGATCGAAGGCAATTAGGCAAGTCTCGTCCATCCTTAGGTGTGCTAAATATTCGAGTACCGCACCATACACACGAGGGGATTCAAACCCTTGACATGAGGGAACTTACGAGCTTAAGAAAGGCTGCTCTACCAACGCGCGTGCGTACGCACACACAGATATTTTTTGGACATTTACATAATTACATACATATCACGAATCATATAAATTTACATATTTAACATTTAAATTTTATTTTTAACATTTATATCGCTCAAAAATTTTTTATCTCATAAGAAAATATTATTATTTTAAACCCACTTTTCATACGTAAATAAAAAAACTATTACTCTAAAATTAAAGTTTAATTATTAGATATATAAATACATAAATTTAAGTAATATGTATATGCAAACCTTCTTATGAGACTGTTTGATTTGATGTAAAATGGGTAAAATAAAATAAATTCAGGAGTTTTAAGTTTTTCTTGTTTGATAAGAAATAAGCTTGATGTGTGCTAGAAAATTTGCGGCAGTAGATTAATGGATTAGCGTTACACGAGAATTCAACACACTTTCAGGTAAAAAAACAACTAGTATGACACCATAAATTTTTATGTGAAAAACTCGTAAAAGGAAAAAACCACGAGATCTAGCATAGCTGAAAAAAAAGCATTATAAACTGGATTTTACAAGCACAGTCCCTCGTACCATAGGCGGGAAAGGGTTAAACACTCTTTGGAGTTACAACATCAGTGTACGAATGAACTTATTGTACGAAGTGAGCGACAACGATGGTGATTGGTGGAGGCCAGCAATTGGTGGTTGACGGTGACAGTAATGCTCGACGACGGCCGGTGGTTCTCGACAGTCGACAGTGGTCGACAGCGGTGGGCGGTGATCGACGGAGGTTGGCGGGTGTCGATGGTGGTCAACAATGGTCAACGTTGATCAACGGTGATTGACGACAGCGAGCGGTGATTGACGGTGATAGATGTGGTGTTAGACTTCAGCTACCTCTCAAAGATTT